GTGCAGGTTGGAAAAGAGTAAGTGGTAGCCGAACAAAAACACGGTACCAATCCATGAAATCCTTGACAGTTAAACTGAGTCAGGTAGGGAGATGCAAACTTCCGGGTTGGGGCCCTCGGGACTCTAAGAACCAATGGCTGGAGACAATAGGCGACATGGCTCAAAATCGTTGTCAATGGCGCAGATGTATTCAGTCTCTTTAATCTTTCATATTCCTTTCTACCACTGTAACAACAGAAGACAAGGGCCAGGCAACAGATCATTTATTAAAGAAAATCAACACATATTTATAGATTTTAATGTACATTATTATATATTATTGTTAGTAGAAAATACAGCATTTTGATTGGTTGTTTCTCACAGAAAGTTAACCTTGCATCTCTTTGTGGCTGTATCAGATCATCCATATGCTAACTGAATCCGCCTACGCAAAGCCTTTGTTCTCATTTTCTCATCACCAATATTGGGGACATAAACATTGACGTCAATTACTGTCTGCCAACTTTGGCTAGCAGCCAGCTCTCACCACACCACTACTCATTCTGTTTCATTCTTATACTTGTCAAAACTCTATTGATTCTCTTCACTCATCTTCTTGTCCAGCTTTGTGTGCTATTTGGAAGGTGGCAACTCGAACTGCTGCACTTGGATGCCAAGTTCTATGTTGAATCCAGACAGACAGACTTTTACTGCAAATCGATACTGTTTTAGGTAGCTACCTAACCCTAGGGTTGTGGTGTTTAAGATTAAAGTTTAGGACCTAGGGTTAAAGTTAGGATTGGGAGTTCGGATCATGGTTAGGGTTATGAGTAAGCTGAAGAACAGTGTCATAAATACCAATGGATCTCAAAGTACCATGACCTACAGTCACTTGGATGAATGGGTAAATCGCGCATATACGATTTCCAAATAGATCATCGGTGCATTGACTGGGTGACACAATCTTACAACACATAAGCCACAACTATACAGTGTAATATCATGTCAGCAATATTTTTTAGTATATTTTTCAACGATTATGCGACTTTTTTGCATCTGAATTCGAATTGGCTGTTCAAGGTCACCGTGGTTTTGGCTATGACAGTTTAACTCTGCCGTTTGTATGTATGTATACCAAGCTAAGTGTAGTAATCTCGGTGTAGTGTTCATCACGAACTAACATCATGTACGTGCTGGTAAAAAAAATCTTAAACTATAGCACGGAGAACATGTGTCCTGTGCTTCTTGGTTCGTGATATAATCCCTACAAATCTACACTTGACTATAGACATATTAGATATTAACCGAAATGCCTAAAGAAGAAATCCCAAATCTAAAGCTGGTGACACCAGAGACAATATTCTACTTAATTGATTTTAAAGCATTGAAGTGTTATATTGGACATATCTGGGCAGCATCATGTCAACTTAAAAACGTTCACGGATGTGAAGGTGTCAAAGCCAGTCAGAATTGAGAAAGCAAAATAGGCATTCATTTCCCTGAAAGCACTAATTACAAAAACAAAACAAAAAAAACAAGAACTTAATTTTGTAAAACTGATGCCCGCTTTCATATGGTTCACAGGATTGACCTTCTCGTCACCAGAAACACTTCCAACAGATTGCTGTAGACTTTCATTTAACATGTGCTTTTGCTCGTAACTGAAGATGAGATGGCCGGCCAGAAATGAAAAGTAAAAGGGAACTGTGCAAACGAAGCAAATCAACCGAGAACGTATTACCCAAGAAATATATATAGGAGATAGAGATGGTCTGTGAATATACTCTGAGAAAACCGTTGAATGTGATACCACATGCTAGACAAGCCCTCAAGTGTAATCTGAATGGGAATCGGTGAGCTTTGGGTGTCTGAGTGTGGCATTAGAGCCAGTTGAAAGTAGTGGCAGATAACTGAGTGCATTATGGGTGTGCTTGTGAAAACTTATACTCCACTTGGAAAGCAAGAAACGAATGGTAATCATGATAATGGTACAATTGTTCTCAATATTTTGATCGATCTAACTGGTTTGTTTTTCAACTGATTGTATAGTTAGTTGTTCATGATTCTAGCGAATAAAGAAAGAACGAACATATTTGCAGGATAATACGAGCTGGTTTATTCCGCGGATTTCTCTTCAGCTGCGTACAACTCTTTTCAATTTCTTCGAGTTACAGAAAAGAACAGTTCGCATCGCCAGACTCATTCCGCTTTACAACACAGTATGCTCGTTAACTCAGTCAAAAGTAGATAAGTATCTTGCTCATGTCAACTCCAACTGCATTCACCTGCACTTGTGGCAGCAAGTACACATAGGAAGGACTGAGAGCAGAGCGTCTCCTGAATTTTCTGAACATATTCCTAAAAGTCTCCGTTTGATGAAAGGCAGCAAAATGTTCTCATGTACAATCGCCAGACACACGTAATTGGAACGAGACATACAGTGAAAATTGGTCAGGATTTCAAAATAATCAATACACAAAGAAAAGCATGGTTTTTTTGGTTCGCAGTAGTCAATGCCATCTAAAGACTTTGACCCGACCTATGCATACAGCAAGATAGTGTGACTAATCTCTCACTATCTTGGTAACCATAATCCTTTTGTTCGTGTGCTTTAGCTTTTTGTTTTGTTGCATAACATTTTGATTTTGGCTTACTGAGTTGAACTCACTATTAAGTTTCCAAATCTACTAAATTGTTTCGTCTGTCTTATAATTTTACTTTACTATTCACCCCCCCCCCACCTTAATGAACTCTCCATCTTAATAAGTTCACTCAGTCGTTCTATCTTGTATTTTGTCTCTAGTCCATTCTTGCTTCCAAGCGAAATCTGAACTCTACCCACTTGTCTAATTATTCTGCAAACAGTTACTCTTTTAACACTGAATGATTCGTCAACTTATATATCGTCTTTGGAATTATGTTGCCTATACTACTTGCCTGTTTAAACTTGAAGTCATTGTAAAAGTATGTTCAGAATCTATTTTATAGCTTATAATTGATTTTCTTTAGGATGTGCGCTGTTGAAGAGATTCCACGAAATAAAACGACCTCGTTATTATATTGCCTTCAAATACGCTCCTTCTTTTCTTTTATTCAAACTAATGAATGGAGTTGGTTGTACGAAATAAAGAATGTTAAGCTTCCTTCACTTCAAGTCTTATAGCCAAGAGTATTTCTTTACTTCTTATCAGTTTTATTAAAAAAAGGGAAGAAATCATCATCTTTTATACCTTGGGGTTTTTCAAATTAATGGCTAGTTTACTTTGATTGGACACTGACCAGTTGGTGCAGAGTGAATTCTATCAGTGAAGTTTGCAATGTTGCCACCATTCTAGGTGGCTCACCATCATGGTGCATCGTGAATTGTTGGTATTAAATGGTTGGAGGCAATCGGCCACAGGAAGCCTCAGACCTAGGACTAAACTACACTAGTTACTAACTAGTGTCTAATCAAAGTATCTAATATAATCCTACAGGAGGTCAATCGTGAGTCCAAATAGCTCAGTGGTATCATCTCTGACTGCAGCAGTCACTGGGTGACGCGGATTCGAATCTCAGAAGGGAGATGATTTCCTCCAAGGTTACAGGTACGCCTTGCTCATTGGTGAATTCCAACAAGCATGAAACCTAGTTTGAAGGCTTCCTGATGATTGCTTCCAACTATCTAATAATACCTAGTTTATTTGTTTTCTTTTATTCTCAGTGGTCTCTTTACAATAGTAATTATCACTGCTTATCATATACAGAGAATCATTGTTCTTAATTGACTTCTACCTGTTTGCGTAGTAGGGATTTAAATAATTCCGAAGTGAGTTTCATCATAAACTGACATAGATTAGTGAACTAGGGAAAAGCAGATATCATTGGATAGCTGTTTTATCGTTGTAGCTTGGGACTTTTCAGTGGTTTACACCAACAACTGAACACTTCGAGATTAATTCACTGTTCATCAGTAACGAAATACACAATGGACTTCATAAAGTTCCAATCAGAAGTTTTGACCGATGGGGGGGAGTCTATTAAGTCAAGTGAGAGTAAAGGTGCTTGTCGATGGTATTGGCTCTTAGTAAAGCTACATTACAAGATGACAGAGGGCCAGTGAATTCCCATCCGTTGATGGAATAATCAACTGGTTTTCCTTATGACCTGAAAGTTCTGTGTACACTATACCTCATGAAGTCGTGGTATGTGTACTGCTTTAAAGTCTAAAACGAGGATGCAAATATCTGCTGAGTGTCTCCTCGTAGTTTTAAATGTTTCTCTGATTGATTTCGGTTGGTGACGAAATCGAGTCTAATACATTATAGTGTTTCGATAGTTTAATGATTAAACTCCCTTGTTTAAAGCAAGAACTTACATATAACACGGTCCACATGATCTCATTCAGTTCACTGTCATTTTATACACATTATTTATTTCATTATTGAAACACTAATTCAGTGCATTATGGGTGCAAAGAGATGAGCCACGTAAAATCTTATAGTTTATGCGACGGCTGGGGCATTGTCCGGGCCGCCATACCAAAGATGGTGGTGGTGTTAAGGGGTCACACCCTGAGCCTTTGACTTAACACCTGATCCACAAAGCAGTGGATCAATGTCAGCAGCTACACTCCCATGGTTTCCAGTGACTGAAATAGGTTTATACGCGGCATTCGATCCTTTCAGATTCTCGAGCCTATGTACACTGTATGTTTGGAATCAGGGATTTCCTCACACCCCAACCCGTAGGTAGACCTAGATGTCCATTAGTGTGGTGGTAAGCCCCAGAAGTTCGAATTCGTCCCTTCAATGTTGTGAGGAACACTGTCGTCGTATTTAGGTAGTGAATATGAGTTGCCAGTAGCTGTGAACAAGTGGCCACATGAAAGCATTTCTCCAGGAAGACCAAAGTCTGTTATTAATAACATACTGTTTATTTTTACTTGGCGAATAACAGAATGATGCCTACTGTTTTCAAATATATCAGAACTTTTAATAAGTAATTGGTAATTGTGGGTTTTCTTCTTATCCTAAATTCAGGTATGGGATTTAACAACAGCTTTGGATTTTGCAAGAACTGGAAACAATTTTCCTGGACCTTTAATGACTATCCCGAACTCATCAACAATCAATATGGAAGGAGCTTACAACTTAGCAAATGGTATGTAGTCAAATATTCCTAATTTCTTCTATTTATATTAAATCTGATCTGCTTTTTGTGTGTATCTGTCTCCTTCTGTTTACAGCTTTTGGGGTGCATTCGTACTTGATTTTGCCTTTATAATTGAAAGTGGAGAAGATGTGTGTAGGTCATATGGGTGTTTCTAGTGTTTAAATAGACTAATAATTATACTTCTGTGGCTTCTGCGTTCTATCTCCCGCGTGAAGTGGTATAATAAGGTGAGCAATATTGAGGTTAGGCGTCGAGTGCTAGGTAAGGAGGGGAAATCAATCGACGAGACTGTGAAAATACATCGACTGAAATGGTTAGGGCATGTGTTACGTATACCTATTCATCGATCGCCTTCCTCGACGGGCAATGTTAGCTGATATAGGGTCAGGCTGGAAAACAGCTAGCCAGTGGCGGTCAAACCAAAACATGCCTTCACCAGTCAATGAAATCTACAACAGTTAGTCTAAGCCAGTCACGTAGGAAGGTGTAGACTGGCTTCCTGGTTGGGGTCCTCGGGACGGTAAAAACCAATGGTTGGAAACAATTGGTGACATGGCTCAAAATCGTTGTCAATGGCTGGCGCAGATGCATCCACTCCCTGTGACTTATGATTTCCAATTAGACTGTTTTGTTCTTCGTTATCACTAAACCTTTGTCTCACACCTCAACTTACTGTCTCTAATATGCATTTCTTCTACTTTCTTCTGTTGCTTTGTGTGCTACAAGGAGGGAGTGTGGCGACTTGAACTGCCGCACATATGTGCAAAGTTCTATGTCGAAAACAGACAGACAGACTTCTGTGGCTTAAGTCGTTGGCAGTGACTACAGAACTAAGTGGTAATGATGAAGAAGGTGATATTTATTTATTTCTCGATTACCTGAATGAAAAAAAAACTGATTTTGCATAACTGCAGAACCGAGGTTACAAATTTCTAAGGCCAGTAGACTCTTACAGATATCAAGATGTACAGTTACTGTGCATTCAGTGCACTTTTTAGGCTTGAATGCAACCTATTTGGTTACTGCACCTCTATTCTCTGACAGTATAACTGTACGCTCATACGACAGCATAGTATAAGCAATATACGGTATGATGCTGACTGCTTATAGTCTAACTATTATCTAACCGCCCTTCCTGGTGTGATAGTTTGTGCAGGGTCATTCGTTCCTGCAAGCATAGCTCATTGGGTTATCGTGGTACACACTCTCTTAACCTTGTGTCAAGTAGAAGATATACGTCGGGGATCTTTTCTTATCGATTTATGTTATTTGCAGTAATCTACTGTTCACCCTCACTTTGTTTTCGTTTGTTATCAATGATTATGTTAAAAATAATTTCATCAAACTCTATACTACTGATTGATTGTGACTAGTAGTGGTTGTATGCCACTCATATCAACTAGTAGTGTTAGTTAGCGAGATCGAAGTGATATAAACACAGACTGCAGTTTCACTCGTTTGGAGCCGAGCTCATCAGCAGTGTACCCAGTTTAATTCAACTCAGACAGACGAATCTCAGTTCAAACCACCTGGTTAGCTACTTGGGCGGATTGGTTGGTAATGCACTGGCATGTTAATCCTGTACACCAGCTAGTGTAAGAGTATTACGTTTTACGTTCTTTCTCCAATTTCAAACATCAGTCTCAAATACAGATTCTCCTAGTCAGTCTACTTAGCAGTAATATTCTTAGCAGTATTCTTAGCAGTTAGAAGTACATACTAATATTTACCATGCCAGTCTTATTTTTGTCTTTGTGATGGAATGGGTCATGCAACAGACTGTCGAGAGAGAGAGAAAAGACAGGCATATGCTAGACTGAAGAAAAGACTTTAGGAGATCTGGACTTCGTGGATGATATATTCTTAGTGTCACACAAACTCGAAGATCTACAGGCGAAAACCAACAAATCGGCAGAAGTAGAGAAAACAGGACTTCAGGGGAATGCGAAGAAGACAAGAATGCTAAAGACACCCAACCAGAAACAACAGCAAATTTCGACGGAAGAAATAAGAAAGAGGTTACTTCTTTCACTTATCCAGGCAGTATCATCTCAACTGCAGGCGGGCATAGACTAGAATTTCAAAGCCAACCAGGATTGAGAATCACTTTGGAAATCTACTGCACACAGGAAAAAATCCGAATCAACAGCACTTATATTAAATAAGTTCTTCGATATGGCATCATGAAAGGGATTTATTTCCAAGAGGCTTCGGACTTTTATCAACAGCTGCCTTCTCTGGTTCGAAATTGCATATCAGATGACCGGTTAAATAAGAATAAGCAACAGAGAACTCTGGTGGTGAGTCAATAAATCTATAGAAGAAAATGGAGATGGATTGAACATACTCTGAGAAGACTTTTTTGTGACATCACAAGCTAAACAGGCCCTTGAGTTGGCCGACAGAGAGTCGCTTAGGGTGGGGGTTTTGTGAAGAGAAAATGAGAGCTTTCAGACAATCATGGAGCTAGCCTAAAAAGACTGCATGGAATAGAGTGAAATGGAAATATACCTCTGAAGTCCCATGTTCCACTCGGAACCCAAATAATAATAGTAATAATCTGCTTTATTCCAAAAACAGTTTTTATAATACAGCATGGAATTCTCAGCATTTATCACACACAATATTGCATCTAATTTACTCAAAATATAAATAAAAGTAACCACAGGAATTAGTCCACATTTACAGTAGGGATAATGTCAAGAATGTCCAAACTATAAAATGAGAATAATCACTAATAATAACAATGAAAGTTATTATTGATCGTTCATTAGGGTACGACCAACCATGTTTCTCCTCTTTAGTGGTGGTACCAACTGAATTCTATCCGTCAAGTTTGCAATATGGTCATCAAGCTAGATGACTCGTTATCTCAATGCATTTTGAATTGATGATGGATAATTGGAGGCAATTGATAGGTGGTAGTAGCTCATGCTCTTTGTCAGTCTTCAGTGTAGCGTATATATAACAGTGAAGGAACTGGTGTCACCAATGAGGTTCTAACCTGTGTCACTCAGTGCTACAGTCCTAGACGTTACCACTGAACTATTCCGGCTGGAGACTGATGTCCTACTGGACTGTAATGGATACTTTGGTTGGACACTAGGTCGTAACTAGTGTCATGAGTTCAGTCCTTCGTTTTGGTGCAGACTGAATACCATCAGTCACGTTTGCAATGTGGTCACTATACTAGGTGGCTTGGCATCAGGCTGCATTCTTAATTGTTGTTGTGCTATGGTTCGAGGCAATCGTCAGAAAGCTCTGGGCCTAGGTTTCGTAGTTTGTAACAGTCGTCAGTGAAATGTATCTGGAACCTTAAGGGGACTCATGCTACTTCAGAAACTCAAACTCTTATAACCCAATGGTGCAATCAGACTTTACTACTGGGCTATCCGGGTTAGTAAAGTGAACTATGCCCTCCATACGTGTAGCATTCTGTAAACTGAATTTTCTTTATTAATAATAATAATATTCTTTATTCCAAAACAGTACTTGTGATGCAGAGTGGAATTCTCAGCATCTTACTACAGTATTGCATCCAGTTAGTACATTATCAAAATACATAATACATAAATAAATACAGCACATAAAATTCTACATAGATTAAGGAAATCTCAGTTCATTATAACAACAACATATTGGGATGTTGGTAGCAAAGCCAAAATTGAGCAGTGTTTGAAGTTGTTAGAAAAGTAGGTGCTATCATATTTACTGGCGTAAGCGAGAGAAAGAAACAAAGGAGCACATAACAGAAAAAGAGGGAGAGAAAAGGAAAAGAAAGAAAGAAAATGTTGTACCTATAAATGATATGAGTTGGAAAGACGAAATCCAATGGTTCTACTGACTATTTAATGAATTATAGGTGTCACGCCTAATGCTTTCTTTATCGCACAGAACACGAGCCAAGTATGTTATGGTACTTGCTGGTGCGAGCATATAGTTTTCTATATAGGCTTCTGGTTTTGCCTGATGAGATGCAAGAGGAGAGTTGTGAGTGAAGAGGGTGGTGTGAGTTAGATAAAATGGGTTTAGCCCATTTTTCACATCAGTCCATGTGCCTGCCAACCAGAATATTAACAAGTTGGTTAAGTGGCACGTTGCTTACCCTGCTGACAACCTTTAACATCCAGCGTAATAAGGTATAGTCTTTCTTCAGTAGCCCTGGAAAAACTAAGGGGGAACAATAGGGAATAATAGGCGGAATGCGAGAATTACCGAGTTGTAGGAGAAAGGGTTGGGTTGGGTTATTCCAGAATGTCTTAACTTCTTGATGTAGAAGGTAAGACGGAATATTTTCTTAGAAATCGTCAAGATATGAGACGATCGGGAAAGATCAGCAGATAGAATGACGCCTAGGTATTTAATTTCCGACTTGGTTTCTATTTCAGTGCCATCTATGTTGCACACCTCATGAGAGCTAACCAGTTTGTTTAGGTCAGATTTATGCCTAAAGGTGAAATTGACTGTTTGGCATTTGGAGGGGTTTAGGGTAAGACCGTTTTCCTTGGACCACTGATTGATTCCTGATAGAAAGCCATTTAGTTTAGAGCAGTCACTTTGACATTTGACAGGCAAAGATACAGTCAGGTCATCAGCATATTTGACAAAATTAATGTCATTTGAAGATGGTAAGTCATGTAGAAAGAAAGAAAAGAGAAGTTGGGAGAGTACAGCACCTTGGGGGACATCAGCTTCAGTGAGCACAGCAGAGGAGGATTTACCTTTGTCATTTTTTAATAGAATACTTGAATGCTACAAGAAATTATCCCGAATATTGATTGTATGGATTATGCGATTATATTATCATGCTAACACTAACCTGTTTGTTTTATCTTCCTTTTTAAGATATTGCTTCTTATCCTGGTGGAATAATGAACAGTGTAAATGTTTGCGGGAGAAATAATATACTGATCAATCCATATTCATCAAATGGGCCTATAAATAATTCAAATAATATACTAGTTTATCCTAATTATAATCAGCATTTATACGATACAGATTATTATTGTTATAGTAATAATAACGCTAATAATATTACCAATAACAGTAATAATAGTTATTACATTGGTGGACCAACATCCTCTGAAATGTTAAAACTTTTAGAAAATTGTCAAATTGGCCTGTCATCAGCTGGTTCCAGTATGACAGCGTTGTGTTCTGAGAGGTTAACTCCAGCGGAGTCAATGAATTCTATAATTGATCAGGCAAATTTGTGATATCTTTGTTCATTTCTTGTCGCCTTCTCCTCCTTGGCTGTTCTTCCCTTTTGTCATCACTCCCATGATCATCATCATCACCAACATTATCATGATTATTACCGTCGTTACTATTATTATTATTATAGAAACTGAATTTCTAAATTGCATAATACGATACATTTGTATAATATCAGACATTTTCATCCTTGTTTTTCCCTATTAATGTAGTGATGAATTTTCTAGAAATACTCGTTTTACTTACTTACTGACTCACTGACTACTATTTTGATTTATATGATTTGTCTTTTATCAATATCTAGTTGTCTGCTGACAATTGTTTCAAATAAATAACCCATCTAATTGACCTATTCTTGCCACAATCAATGATCAACTTTCGTATAATTTTATGATCTTTGTATGCATGTATGTATGTGCATGTGTTGCGACTGCTTTTCTGAAGCTTTTCACTATTTATTGCCGGTTAAGATGTGACATATAGTGCAGAAAACAAAAGTGTTCTTGTTCTTTTACTTGTTGAATATTCTTGATAAAAAAATAATAATAATAAATGTTAGGTGACAATAAAAAAGTGTTTTCATTGTCTCGACCGATAGTGTAACGACAGAAGTCAAGAGTCAGGCAACAGATCATTTATCAAGGAAATCAACGCATATTTATATATTTGCATGTACATTACTATGGATATTTAAATAAACAAACACAGTCTTCCGATTGGTTGTTTCTCACGTAAAGTTAATCTTTCATCTATTTGTGACTGTTTCTTGAATGTCAAATCCTCTATATGTTAACTGCATCCGCCTATGCAAAGTATGCTGTGGTCGGTTTTGAATCAATCTTTGTTCACATTTTCTCACGACAAATCTTGGGAACGTAAATATTGACGTAAATTACTGTCTACCAATTTGGCTAGTAGACAGCTCTCACCACAGATAGCTTCTATCTTTACATGAGGGTTGGACATGCGTATGGCGGGTCCTGTCATGTTAGAAAGGTCGTTTGGATAGGGCGGGGGGGGGTTAGACACTAATAGAGCTACATACTGAATGTGAGTTGCCTAGAAACTGTAAATAACAGGGATCTCTGGCAACGAATCAATCCAGAACCTACGGTCCAACAAATATCCCGAAGGAAATGGAAATTGACTGGACCATAGAGCTCGGGGGAGACTCTTGAAAGACATCGCATGCCAGACAGTTCCTAGAGTGGGGACCCAAATAGGAAACGCCGTGTTTGGCGTCCATGGATGACATGGAGATCGTGTGATGAAGACATAGGCAGACGTGGAGCTAACCTAAAAATGACCACAGGGAAAAGTGGAGATATGCTGTTGAGACCCTGTGTTCCACTCAAAACCCAAGGGAACAATAAATAATCATCTTATTGTCCGGACTGATAGTTTCTGTCTTGACATGGTGGTAGTCAGGCTTGCATATCCCAGGAATTCATGTTTCTGTAGGACCTACCATGCTAGAAAGGTTGTGTGGACGGCGGTAAGGTTAAAATCAGTTACCGTCATAGTGTAAGTCGTTTACAACATGTTGGGAATCTATGGATGAATTCGTTTTAGGATTAAATTTGCCGACAGATTTTAATCCTCACTATCAGTACTGACGATACAGAGTCTATAGTTAAAACTCAGGTAAACTTTATCTTTTTTCTAAAATACAGAGGAGATAATACAATTACACAAAGGTAACAATATAATGGCAAATATACTTCAAGGAAGGACAAGGACACACCGAACAGTATAGATATGTGGAACAAAGTGATCAGTGTATTACATATACACACGTATAAGAAGATTCAGCACTCACCCAAGGTCAATCTGAAGTGGTCTGCGTCTACATTAAAATAACCAATAATCACGAGAGACAAGGTTAGGTCATACAGATTGGTGGACTGTCATAAGTTCTGTCAGTCATGATTAACTATCCTACTACTGGAGAATAGGGATGTGATAGCAGTAAGGTGTTTCCCTCAGATGAATAGCATGCTAGCTATGCTACCTCTCTGTTCTGGGTAGGGGAGGGGTTAAGAAAGGTCTACCTCGAAAACTATACATCCCGACAAACCTTACGGTGTTCCGTAACCGGCGGAAATATCTTAAAACGGATGCAATTCCAAAAATCACCTCAGAAAGTCCGTATGTGGCCGGCCTCAAGAAATCTCCACCTGGGTGGGCTCTACAGTTACGCAACACTAATGTGTGAGGACTAATGATACTATCTAACTGTGGCTGTGTTACATTTGGTGGAGTGGCATCCTAACCAGTAATCTAGTGATTTGAAGTTCATCACTTAGATCGATAATCACAGCTCAACATGGTTAATTTAAAGTAGGGCAGCCATTTGTCATTTGGTTTTGTCTACATGGACAACAGCTGGATTTCTTCTTGTTTCTACTTAATCTCAACTATGGTATGAACTGCAGGAAATTCACCTGTTGTATATTATTTATTTTATTTTTTATTTTGATTGCAGCTTGATGCCACACCGTATTTTCAGTACAAGTATGGAATTTTCAGCATGGATATCGGTAGCCCAAATTTTGCAGGCCGACCATAGATATCGGGTGTGCGTCGGCAGGGGATTGAACCTCGGACCATGTGCATGGTTGGAGGGAGTCCTAACCACTGTGCCACCGACGCACATTACATTCTCTCATTGTTGGAAAGGATTTATGAATCTCTAGTTCTTAGAGTTACCGTTAGCGATAATAATTTACATTATTATTTCCTTCAGTCCCATGTGGGACACAGGGATCCAGAATTTCACTATGATCCCTAAAATCTTTCTTAGCTGCCTTCACAACTGCACATAAGCTTTCATTTCCTCAGATAGTCTTCTCCGTGTCACCCTCTGATCCACGTCAAACTTGTCGTTTCCCTTTTGGCTTTCCAGTCGAGAGCCTGGGGCACTTGATGTCACTCAACACTTACCTCAGGGTAGGTATAACCCATTTCCAATACCTTCTGCATATCTCTCGGGTGATAGGTACTTAGTTGGTTCGTTACCAGAGTTCCTTGTTGCTTATTATTTCTGCCCATCGGATCTTCAGCGAAGGCAGTTGTTGATGAAAGTCTGTAGTAATCTATTGGTAATGCTTTTCGTGACGCATTAATTCTCTGAATCTTTTAGAATCACTGATTGGACATTAGCTCTGAAAATTCGGATTTTGGTGCCACCTTATGCTTGCTGAGTACAGCAGATTTCCACACTGATTTCAGTTCAGTGATTCGGATTGATGCTTTTTGTTGTTAGGTAGGTATTTCCACCACCTCTGCCTGATTTCCACTTAAAGTCATGCCTTCGTTGCCTTTACTGCCAAATTTGTTGGTTTTCGCGTGTAGATATTCGGGTCTGTGAGAAAAAGGAAACCTGTGTAGTTCATCTTGTCAGTCCAACTCATCCCCACCATCTCAGTCTCCACATTCTGCTCCATGATCCAGTCTACCACAATCATAGATTATTGTAGGCAACCTTGTCTTACTCCTGTCTTCATTTCAAACGCTTCACTGAGTTTTTATTCGTGAATTACCTGGCATGTATCGTCATCATATAGCTGTTGAATGTGATTTATAAAATTTTATCGTAGTGTGTTAAAGCATTTTTCAAATTACTTCACGATTCACGCTGCCGTAGGCTTTTTCAAAGTTGACGATGTTGTGGTAGAAAGTTGATTGCCGTCCTGTGCTCTGTTCGATGATGTTGCGTAGCGTTGTAACTTGATTCTCATATGATTTGCCTTCCCTGAAGCTAGATTGTTCTGGGTGGAGTTTTGCATCCATAGCATCTTTTAGTCTCTTCAGGATGAAGTGGCTTAATATTTTGTTTTGCGTGGCCAACTGCATGATTCTGCACCAGTTCACAAGTAATAAATGCTAACTACTTTTTAGTTCGATTCTTTATAATATTGAAATGAAGACATTATCACAGGCCTTCACCTCATATTATGTAACTAGTTTTTGTCAGCGTTTTAAACTTTTCTCCACTTTTAATCTTAACACACTGATGAAATATCTTTCTAATACTCTGGCTCTTTTCAGTCTATCTATGATTCTAGTTCATTTTTGTAAATATATAGTATAGAATACTATAACAACGATAAGTTAATTCAAAAGATACTATTTATATTCCAAACTGGAATGGAGAACTTTCCTACTTGATCACGGATTGATGTCAGTTAGAGAACCTCTGAAAACCATAGAGTGCAGGACAGCTGCTTCGTTCTAGTTTGGGACTCTTCAGGAGTATGCACCGTGCGACTTTCCTGTCTCATCAAATATAGGCTTTAGGTGAAAGTGTATAAATTCAAAATGCCTACGTCAACAAACAACATTGTTTGAACTGAAATTAGTTAGAGGACCATTGGAAAGCCTGCGGGGAGTACTGGACAGCTGTTTCGTCCTAGTTTGGGACTCTTCATCAGTACGCACCCACCGCCAGGGTTCGAACCCAGGATTTTCTGGTTACCAGGCCAGAGAGCTCGTAGACTATTAGGCCACTGGGACCTGATCCAATGGCCTGCCCATGAATCCCAACTTCTGCCAATAATTCACGATACAATGCGACCACTAGTGAATGTCCTGGGTGGCGAGAATTTGTCCTCACACCCGACTTGCTCTACCCTACTGGTCACGACTTCCCACTGGGACTCCAGACCTGAATATGGCCAGTCGCTAGTGAGTGAGTCCCAAACTAGGAGGAAACAGCTGTCCAGTACTTCCTAAAGGTTTTTCAACGGTTCTCTAACCGATATCAGCTCATGATGAAATCCTGTAACCAATCAATCAAATCCCTACAAACCAATACTTGAAAACAAGATTCTTTCCATAACTCCTCGCCAAAGATGTACATATTCTGAATCTTATTGTGGTTGTGTGCTCTGAAAAGTGCTCTCTGAATCTCTTATCCTTATAAACAGTATTTTTACTTCCTCGAACCACTGACACAATTTTAATAACATAACCATTTTTGAAAGCTATTCACCACTAAATA